TGTTAAATGCAGGCTTAATATTGTAGACAGTGGCGTACCTACCACGGTCGCAAGGGCCGCAGCTGCGTCCGGGCCCCTCACTCCAGGGGGCCCGGGCGCAGACACTACTCCTACGACCGGGGCTGCCTGGATACCTTAAGGGCCGGTGCACAGTCACACCGCCCTGAGTCAGCGGATCCCAGAGGTCTGGCAGGAAGGAAGAGCTATGCCACTCCCCTCCTGTCTTTGTGTAGCGTAGCCGAGCTGTTTGACAGGAAGTGCTCACTGACAGAGTACTTCCTGTCTGACCATGAACCGCAGTAGAGAAATGCTGGTACTGGAGGGGACAGAGTGGTAGGAATAGGACACAGGAAGGGGAGAGGGGAGAGAGTGGTAGGAATAGGACATATGGAGGGGAGAGAGGGAGAAACGGACACAGAGAGGGCAGGGGGGAAAAAAGAACAATGGGGCACAGGGAGAGGAGAGAGGGAGAAATGGGACACCTGGAGAGGGGAGAGAGGGAAGATATTGGGCACAGGGAGGGGAGAGAGAGGGAGGGTATGGGACACAGGGAGAGGGGAGAGAGGTAGCAATTATACAGTGGAGGATAGAGTGGAGAGATGGAGGGTATGGGACACAGAGACAGAGGTGGAGAGAGGGCGGGTGTGGGACATCTGGAGGGAGAGGGAGAAATGGGACACAGGGTGGGGAAAGAGGGAGGGTATGGGATACAAGGAGGGGAGGGGGGAAGATGTAGGAATGGGACACGGGGAGGGGAAGAGAGGGAGATATGGGACACATGGCGGGGAGGAAAGAATGGGACATACGAAGGGGAGGGGGAAGAGAGGGAGGAATGGGACACAGGAAAGGCGAGAAGTTGAAATGAGAAACATGGAGGGGCTGAGGGTAGAGGGAATGGGACACATGGAGGGGCTGAGGAGGGAGAGGGAATGGGACATATGGAGGGGCTAAGGGGGGAGAGGGAATGGGGTACATGGGGGGGGCTGGGAGAGGGAGTGAGACACTGGGGGGGAGTGAATGAGACACCTGGGGGGTGGAAATAAGACACAAGGGCCAGACCAATTTTTGCACCGGGGCCTGGTGGATTCTAGTTATACCTCTGCTTGTAGGCTAGTGATGAGTATCAAAATAGCGATTATGTGTCAATAAAGTAGAAGCATGGAAAGATGATGGATGGTAGAGTACAGTTTGGTTGAGCGTGAGAAAATTGGGAGTGCAAATGGATTCCAGGCACACACAGAAGGAATGGCTCATAGCTCAGTATGAATAAAATGGATGAGAGGTCGACAGTCATGCCTTGTCCAATTGCTAATATTAAGGGGTGTAAACAAAAAGGCATTTGATAGCACCCTGGCTAAAGAGACAGAATAGAGTGCAGATATCCATGTAATCATGTGTGCACTCAGATCAAAGGTGCGAAGGGTAGAGTAGAGATAAGACCAATTAACCCTGTTGAACACCTTCTCCGCATCAGTCGAAAGTAAGATCAATAGTTCTGAGCTTTTCTTAGCTGCATAGATTAGGTTTAACACCCTAACAGTATTGTCTCTCACTTCCCTTCCTCCAACAAAACTCACCTAATCTGGACTCACCAGTCTTGGGACATAAGGGTGCAACCTTTGCACAAGAAGTTTTGCCAATAACTTGAGATCAGCGCCCAACAGGGAGAATGGTCTGTAGCATGGGCAAAAGGTATAGTCCTTGCCTCTTTTGGAAGCCCTACAATATGTTCGTACAGCAACTGGGGTGGAAGAACAGCTCCCTCCATTAGAGAGTTTTATGTTAGGAGGAGATAAGGGGCCAGAATGTCAAAGAAAGTTTTATATTACTTTAATGTGAGCTCACCAGGTCCTGGGTCTTTTCCTGATTTAGAAGATTTTATAGCATTTGAAAGCTCCTCTATCATAATAGATTTCTCCAGAAACCTACCTGGTAGGGCATGTCGGAAAACCTGGGAGCTCAGCCTACTTGTAAGTGGGTCTCCTGGAAAAAGGCTATTAAGACTCTCTCTGAGGGCCCTAGCTTATTTAGGGGGAATGTTAAGTTTCTGAGCATTTAATGTAAGTGTAATTAATTTTTTAACTGGTAAAAACAGGTAAAAGACATATTCATTAGGGTTGTGCATGGGCAAAAAATTTGGTTTGGTTTGGTTCAGTTCGGAAATTCGGGTAAGTAAACAAATTTGTCTGCTTCGGCAATTCAGACCAAAGGCATTTGGTTCGGTCCGGCACTTCCGGAATTTGGAACTTGAGCAATCCAGGACTTTGGCAATTCGGAACTTTGGCAATTCGGATATTTGTAAAGCTCTCTTGTTTTGCCATTTTTCAGAAATCCAAAGCACTTTGCCACCACAACAACTTACACATCTGTAGGGCTCCCTAACCCTAACACCTAACCCTAGCCCTAACCCCTAACCCAACCACCACAACCACTTACACATCTGTAGGTCTCCCAGTGCCCGGACTGCCACCACAACCACTTACACATCTTTAGGGCTCCCTAACCCTAACCACCCCAACCACTTACACATCTATAGGGCTCCCAGTGCCCGGACTGCCACCACAACCACTTACACATCTATAGGGCTCCCAGTGACAAGAATTAGCTTATTGGTCAAGATTCCTGTCATCATTCACATACTTTTCCCTGTCTCTCTTGTTTTGCAACGTTTCAGAAATCTGAGGCACTTCGGAAATTCTGCAATTTGGAAATTCTGCAATTCGGAAATTCGGAAATTCGGTTCGGCACTTCGGAAATTCTGTTCAGTTCGGCACTTTGGAAATATGGCAATTTGGAAATTCTGCAATTCAAACTTCGGACATTCGTAAGCATCCGAATGACCGAATTTAACAAAATGTGTCCGTATGTACATTCGGAACTAAACAAATTGCACATGTGTAATATTCATATTTGGCAACTGCGTATGTATAAATATATGTATGTGCATAATTCCGCTCTTGTAATTTATTGTGCTCCTTTTGTGTAAATCTGTGAGTATAGTGAGATTATATACATAGCTATGTAAATGCACACAGAGTGACAGATAAGGTTAGAGGTGATTAGGCTAAAGGAGGGTAATGACTTAAAAAGGGGTTAATGTCAGCTTTCAATTATAAAGGGGGTTTAGTGTTAAGAAGATTATTAAAAGATCAATAAAAGCTTGAGAGGGGTTATATATGTAGTACAAGGACTATTTAGGATTATTGAGTTAAATTTAGTCTTGGGGTGTATGAATTGTTTAGTTAAGCGGAGTTAAACACAGGATTATGGCAAATGGTTTATTTTCAAGTTAAGGCTTTAAGTGCTGGTGTTTGAAGGGTTATTAAGCGAAATGCTAATCCTATGTCTTCTGTAGACCAGTCAGCCTGAGTATATTATAACTGAAGGGACTGTTATACAGTGTATATCACTCAGTGCTGTCGCTGCTAATACACTATCCTGTGCCACCTGCTCTGGCTTTTTTACGTTTAACCCCTAGTTGTACTGCAAACTTGATTTTGTGCTTTTTAACTCTTTTCAGCATCATTGGCTTCCTCTACTAAACTGTGCCCTAACAGCAATATACAGTAGCCTGTGTAATCACAATGTCCTCAGCCTCCCATACAGTGTAGAGGTAATGCCATTTACAGAATCATTACTTCAGCTGTTTGAATGTTTACTAGCTTCTAAAACAGAAGCTGGCTGAGAACAAAAAAGGGGGAAAAAATTACTAGCAGTCTAGGAGTTTACTTGTCTAAAAAAAATAAATTAAGATATAAAAACTAAAATTTACCATTTAATACGATAGAGATCTCCATGATATATCCATGAATTCTGCAGGCAGGGGGATATGTCTTGTTAGATATTGTCTTCCATATTCCCTTATAAATATGTTAATTTGTTATAATGAGTTCATGTACATTTCCACAGATGATTTGGTTATTTGTATTAAATCAAGTTGTTACCATAAGTCCTGAGTTAAAATAATGCTAAGTGTCCGGGAGGGTTGTCACTTGGGTCCCGGGTATTTATAGGGCATGTGCATGGTTCGGTAGTTCTTGTTCTCTGGTCATGTGTGGTGGGTCCCGGTGACTCTACGCCTTTTATTAATGGTGCCCGTTGGGTGCCCCGCTCTCTGCTTGTCGGCTTCCCATTCTCCGTGTAGGGGCTATGCAGTAGCCTGTGACCGTAGGTAGTGTGGTGTCGTGTTCTATCGTGTTGTCATGGATACTGGAATGCCGGACCAAGGATGAGGGGGCCGCCACCGGAAGCCTATGTACTGTGGGTGTCTACCCCTTCCCTCTTCCCCCCCCCCCCGACGTCCAAATTGTTAACAGCTGCAGTTTGGCTGCTATCAGCTTACTGATGGCCACAGCTCTGGCACCTTCACAGAAAGTGTTGAATGAGCCTGTTATGCATTCATACATGCACTTGAATGGACAAGAAAAAGCATAAACATTCTACAGTCATATTTGTGAGTAGGCTTAAACCTGTTGAGATTCTTGCTGCTTTGAGACATTTGCAGGACAATTACATTTCAATTCAGGAAAAGTGTATTAACAGAGGGATCCAAAACGATTTATACTTCTCTAGAATTAAAGAAAAAAATGCTAACATTAAAGTGTAAGACTTTGTTATGTTTCCTTAGGAGTTTCCCTATGCATCACCAATATCTATCTATAAATCCAGTAATAATACATTTATGGATCATATAACCAATTCATTTTTTATATTACCCACTGCTTCTCCCCTGGCACCCAACATAAATTTTGGATTAAATGACTTTAACAAACTTCTTAATGGATAAAGTGAGTGTCTTAAAGACTATTTTCAGTTTATGTGGATATCCACGTTTAATACATGACCAGCACCAAGTCTTGCATTCAGGACTTAAATGCCAAACTCCATCAAATAGATTAAAATTGTTCTCCATAAAAATAGAAGAGATAATCTAAGGCGATTATGGGTATAAATATGTACTTTGAATAAATTAGAGTGTTTAAAGTAGGCCATATGCCTGGATACGTCATCTAGTAATAATGGAATTGTTCTATTTTTTGAGGGGTTTCAAAAGTTGGGCCATGATTTAGAGGGACAGTCGGGAACATTCACATTGTGCCGCAAAAGATGAAATGTGATTTGGACCAATGCAAGACAAACCAAAGAAAAAGCATTGGCCAAGAATGTTTTCATTAATTAAGAATGAAAGTTGGAGGTTTGAACATGTTTAGATACCAATGTAGTTCAAACCATAAAAGATGCCAATTTATGGTCATGCTACGTTATTCCTATAATCACCTCAGTATTATATGTCTAGTGAGAGGAGAACTCACCTTTCTTCACTCTCATATGGTTGTTTTATTAAAAATTTTTTATGGTCCACCACTGCACTATCCAATTTTGGATTATCCTTGTTTAATGTCAGGAAAATGTGCAGGTGACAATTACTGTCACTCATTTGTTTAGGCAGAAAGAGCCTAGTGTAAAGTTTAAAAAAACTGGTCGATATGCAGTTGGTGGCAACTTACTTATTATAATGCTCAGAGACTACTAAATATTATTTGCTTTCTATCTATATTAGTTTTATTGCTCAACTAGCGCATGATAAGAGTCTAGTCACACTTATATATGTACACAGAAAAGAATATTATCACTCACACCTAAATTTAACAGGGTAGTGAAAAAACAACACTCATCTCAATGGATAGTGATGATAGCTCCCTTCAGGGATATCCCAGCAAGTATACCATTAAATGCAGTATAGGTGCAAACAAAATGGAGAATACAGCTGCAGATCCACAACAGAAAACATATATATATATAGTGTAACACTGTAAGAAATATGTAAATGCGCTGAAATAGGTAACACAGGATAGAAGAAAATATAGCGCCCAAGGGTGCCTCCCCCGATCAGAATGGGGGGTAAATCAGCTCCTCTTTTCTCTAGTGATGATGCCGTAGTATGAAGAGAATGGACTCAGGATTGACGGATAGAACAATTCTGCTTTACATAGAAACATATAAACATAGTATGTGACGGCAGATAAGAACCAATCATCCCATCTAGTCTGCCCAATTTTCTAAATACTTTTAATTAGTCCCTGGCCTTATCTTGAGTCTAGGATAGCCTTATGCCTATCCCACACATGCTTGAACTCCATCACTGTTTTAACCTCTACCACTTCAACTGGAAGGCTATTTCATGCGTCCACTACCCTCTATGTAAAGTAATACTTTCTGAAATTATTTTTAAACCTTTGCCCCTCTAATTTAAGACCACGTCCTCTTGTTGTGGTAGTTTTTCTTCTTTTAAATATAGTCTCCTCCTTTACTGTGTTTATTCCCTTTATGTATTTAAATGTTTCTATCATATCCCTCCTGTCTTGTCTTTCCTCCAAGCTATACATGATCCTTTAACCTTTCCTGGTAAGTTTTATCCTGCAATCCATGAACCTGTTTAGTAGCCCTTCTCTGAACTCTTTCTAAAAATGATAAAAGCACAGTAAAAAGTGGTGGTATCTGTAAGGCTTAGACTACCAAGAGGTTCCTGAAGAAGTCCTTCTCGGACAAAACACGTAGGACCTGGTACAGAACCACTTTTTACTGTGCTTTTATAATTTATATAATAAAGCAGAAATGTTTTATCCATCAGTCCTGAGTCCAGGCTCTTCATAATACTGCATCATCACTAGAGAAAAGAGGAGCTGATTTAGCGCCCCATTCTAATCGGGGTAGGTACCTGTCACATCATGCCATGTTCTGCGGAGATGTCTGGCTTTGGCTTCTGGTATCCAGTACTCTTTTTACATTTCTTGTTTAGTTTTTCTTGGTTTTTCTGGTTTTCTATTCTGTGTCTGGTTTTCTTTATGCTGGGTTTTTCTGGGTTCATTCCTGTAATCCGTCCCTGGAATTCCCAGTCTCCTGGATTAATTTATATGTCTGTTTTATGTTGCCACACCCATTTGTTTTCCATTTTCCTTTTGTTTCAGTCTGGACCTGCAGCAGTATTTCAAGTCTCTGCCCTTTCTTGCAGGTAAGTGCTATTGTGGTATAGTATGGTTCTTTTAGCGAACATTAGGCAGTGTAGGACCTGCTGAATATGGGTACATTGGCGTTGTGGCATGCTTATGCAATGTATGATCATATAATGTAACTAAATCCCCATACTTTTCATATATAGTTATGTCTCCTCTTGTTTTACCTTGTATCTCTTGTCTTGTTTTATTTTGTTCCGTATTCCCAGTTCATGTACAGTCCCGTCCTGCCCTGTTCTTGTTTTCCTCATGTCTTGTGTACATGTTCTGGGTTCTGCTTTCTTTCCTGTTGCGGTTCTGGGTTCTCCTAGTTTGGTCTTGTTTTCATGTTTGGTGACTATCCTAGCCTTGCCTTGTTTCTGTACTGGATACATTCTTGCTGCAGAGCCTCCCTATTCAGCCCCTGGGAGGTCTGCTTATTTCCTAGCTCCTAGTTCCTGAGATCCGCATAAGCTGCATCAGGTATGTGGCTGCACAAACGCTGGTGCTCAACACCAGGAGGCGAGCGGTTACCCTGCACCAGACTCTGATAATCCTCTTCCACGCTGGAGACTCCCAACTTTTCATCAGGCACTCAGGGGTCCCGGTTTCCGTACCGCCACCCGTGATAGTACCCTTGGGCGATATATTTCCTTCTATCCTGTGAGTGTTATCTATTTCAGCACATTTACATATCTCTTACTGTGTTACACTATGTATGTGTTTTCTGTTGTAGATCTACAGCTCTGTTCATACTAACCATTTTTCAACATGAAACCTACACCCTCTCTCTCTCAATACTGTCATTCCACCCTCACAGATATATATATATATATATATATATATATATATATATATATATATATATATATATATATAAAAAGTAAGGAAGTCAGGCACTCTACCTTTGAAAATTTGTTGAGATGAACCTCGGTGCTGCACAGCATGGATAAATACGAGATGTTGACAAAGACCTCTTGGGTCGAAACGTTGATCATTTTGAATCACATATAACGCTCATTAAACAAATCCTCTGGAGTGCTCTTTTCAACATCTCGTATATATATATATATATATATATATATATATATATATATATATATATATCATGGATTAATCATTTTCCTGACACAAAAAAATGTGTAGTCAAACTTTAACCTTCTCTTAGGTTCACACTTTTCTGTCGGACATCTGTAATTCACAAATAAATGCCATTCTGAACATTCATGTTCTTTTTAATGCCGTGGATTTTCGGTTAATATTCCCTTGCATGCCATAGAAACATACACAGAATAACAATTAATACCTTTCCTGAGATATAGCAGCACAGTAACACTTAACCTTCTCTGAAGAGTAGATAAAAGACCTCATGAAATTCCATACTTATTGTGTAAGGGATGCATGCAATTCTACATAAAACTTCAAGAAGGGATAGATGGATGAAATTATAGCATTAGATTATAAATTATATTATAGATGTCCCCAAACCTTTAGCCACCCCCACCACAATGTAAGAGGGGTCCAAAAATGTCTAATTTCCTAATAAGTCTAATCATACTTATCAGTAAATATATTCGTCTTGTCTCAAGCCAAAAAATGCCAAACAAAAAACATGATATCCGCTATTTTAAAATTAAAAAATTACCATGTTTCCAAAATAAAAAGTGACACAAGATAAAAATAATACATCTTCTCCCAGTGAGGGCTCTGCACAGCATATGAGACCTTTTAAGTCACATTATTATTTAATTGGGGGCCCACTGTGGAAATACAGGGGAGGACACTAAGTCACCATGCTTCATGGGGACACATGGGTGGACATTCCACTCCCATTCTTTAAACCATAGGAGTATGTGGTAAACATTAATATTGATTGGGAAGCAATGGTAGTCATGCCCCATCCCCTGTACTAATCTGGGAGAGTCATATTGCCTCCCATAGGCTTATTTCTTTTAAGTATTTAATGTGGCGACTGGCTAGAAAGTGCTAGTCAGCCACCGTATCATTAATCCTGACAGCTCCGCACAGGTGTCTAATTCAACCGATTTTCGGTTCTCCTAACTCATTTCAGACAAACCTTACAGATACCTCTGTTCAGAAAATTTTGCTTGAAAAAAACCAAAATTGTTCAAGTCTAGAGATTAATTTAAAAATTGTTTTGATTTAGGATTGGGATATCCTTAAAGTGTCAAGGGGTTTGGAATAACATTAAATTGACTTGGAATTAGGGAGAGGCTTAGGTGCTATTCTCCTGGTCTGTACCAAGGGAATTAAAACAACACAATGAAGGGAATTGCGTTGCAATTTTGTTGCAATACAGCTATTTCCTGTACGACGGCACTAAATAAACTGTGAAGGGCAATTGGGCATTTGTAGAATTTAGGTACTTTTAAATCTGTCAAATCAGAGAGCACCTCAGGCATGTTCAGCATGCCCCTAGACGTGATTTTTGAATGCTCAATTTAACCCCTAGCTGCGTGTTTGAATTGAACACCCATGGGGCTTTCAGTAAATACCTGATTTTGTCCAGATGGACAAAATTAGGTGAAAACTACAGAATTCCTGTTACAGTACCTGTCCCCTACAGTGCGGATCAGAAATGATGTCTCCTCTGTGTTCTGATGCACACCCTCTGATCCCTAGCTTCCTGGTGCCTCATATATGACATGGAGCCCTTCCATTCGTCTCCTTTTATAATGTCAATCTATGTGGTGCTTATTGATGATGTATACACACTTGTGACATAATGGTACTCTGTAACCAATCACAACCCAGTATAGGGTATATATGCTTCCTGGTTGTTCTTGTTTTCTTGCCCTATCGTGGTTCTTGTTACCTGAGAGTGTGTTTATACTGTGTATTGGATTTGCTGTTTTCTGACCTTGGATTGTTTAACTTTTCTTGACTATCTGTATATGTGTTATTTTAGACCTCGGCCTGTCTCTTATTTATTCTTTGCCGCTTGCAGACATTTCATTTATCTGTCTCAGGCACTTGCCCAAGCCCACAAGGATCAGTATTCCTTTACTGTTTCCTTTAGGTATGCATGTTAGGGTTTCTCCATTCCTGACAATTGCAACCACAATGGCAATTATCATATTTATAAAAGCCAAGCATGGAATCAAATCAGTGCATTCGTATCCCAATCCTATACAAGATTCAAAAAGCATGGTTTGAAATCATTTGACACTGGATGCTTCTGGCAGTATGCACTTTTGCAAATTACCAGGGTGGGCACATGCCACTATTTGTGGGTGGACA